AATAAAAGTTTTGTGGTGATAACAGCTATCGTATGTACAAATGTGAAATATTTCTGATGATATCTAACATAATCATCCACAATTTTTCTACCAGAGTGAACCCTATGGCATGCTGAAAGATGTACCCACCAAACTAGAAGGCAACGATCAGTATGAGGGATTTGGCATAGAACTTATTGAAGAATTAGGCAAAAAATTGGGTTTTCTCCTACAGCTTCCGTTTACAAGAGGATGGTAAATATGGCAATTTAGATTCGAAAACCAACTCCTGGAATGGTATGATTTTGGAAATCATGGAAGGGGTAAGCGAAATAATATATTTAATTAAATTTTACCATTACTTTTGCTTTAAGCCACTTTAAATTTACTTTAATATTCAAAAAGCATTTGACCACATTATTTTTGTTATGTTCTAAAACCATTTTATAATTGTATTTGGTTGCACTAACTATCAGTCCTTATTATTGTGCACATTTACCCCTTTTGCTTTCCGCTTGTGAATGATTTTTATATGTATTTTTTATGGGATTATGTTTGCGGAAAAACTCTAACGATAATGATATATGGTTTAAATGCGATTTTATTTATTGTTGCTGGTGGTTTTTCCCTCATTTATTTCTTTTGTTAGAATACTATGAATTTATTATGCAAATGATTTTGTTCTGTTTTTTCTTTATTATTGTATAAACTCCTTTATTTTCGTTTTGCATACTACTAAACATTTAAGAGGGATTTTAAAAAATAGTTGTATTTGTGTAGTGGATACTGTAAAAAATAAATAAAAATTGTTTTTAAAATTTTAATGTATTACTCTACTTTAGGTCTTATTCCCAGCATAAATAAAAATAAGTACTTCCAAAAGAATAACATTTATCACCACTTCAGAATCACTATCACTAGGTGATTTTTTTTACCTTCTGTAAAAGTTATGTTTAATGACTTCCGAAGAACCGAAAATAATTCTATTTTAATTTACTTCTTGAGAAAGACATCAAATGACAAGCCTGTGTTAAAATCATTACTTCTCCAGATCTTTTTCAGTACTTCATAGAGTAAATTCTACTTATTTTTCGCTTCTTTTGAAATTCTTTTTTTGCTAGGTTTACTCCTTTCCGCATCTTTGGAAGTTCTGTTTTTGCTGGGTTGTGTATATGATTATTGTCAGTTGTTAGTTAGTTTAGTTAGTTAGTTAGTTAGTTAGTTAGTTAGTAGTTAGTTAGTTAGTTAGTTAGTTTAGTTAGTTAGTTAGTTAGTTAGTTAGTTAGTTAGTTAGTTAGTTAGTTAGTTAGTAGTTAGTTAGTAGTTAGTTAGTTAGTAGTAGTTAGTTAGTAGTTAGTTAGTTAGTTAGTTAGTTAGTTAGTTGTTAGTTAGTTAGTTAGTTAGTTAGTTAGTTAGTAGTTAGTTAGTTAGTAGTTAGTTAGTTAGTTAGTTAGTTAGTTAGTTAGTAGTTAGTTAGTTAGTAGTTAGTTAGTAGTTAGTTAGTTAGTTAGTTAGTTAGTTAGTTAGTTAGTTAGTTAGTTAGTTAGTTTAGTTAGTTAGTTAGTTAGTTAGTTAGTTAGTTAGTAGTTAGTTAGTTAGTTAGTTAGTTAGTTAGTTAGTTAGTTAGTTAGTTAGTTAGTTAGTAGTTAGTTAGAGTTAGTTAGTTAGTAGTTAGTTAGTTAGTTAGTTAGTTAGTTAGTTAGTTAGTTAGTTAGTTAGTTAGTTAGTTAGTTAGTTAGTTAGTTAGTTAGTTAGTTAGTTAGTTAGTTAGTTAGTTAGTTAGTTAGTTAGTTAGTTAGTTAGTTAGTTAGTTAGTTAGTAGTTAGTTAGTTAGTAGTTAGTTAGTTAGTTAGTTAGTTAGTTAGTTAGTTAGTTAGTTAGTTAGTTAGTTAGTTAGTAGTTAGTTAGTTAGTTAGTTAGTTAGTTAGTTAGTTAGTTAGTTAGTTAGTTAGTTAGTTAGTTAGTTAGTTAGTAGTAGTTAGTTAGTTAGTTAGTTAGTTAGTTAGTTAGTTAGTTAGTTAGTTAGTTAGTTAGTTAGTTAGTTAGTTAGTTAGTTAGTTAGTTAGTTAGTTAGTTAGTAGTTAGTTAGTTAGTTAGTTAGTTAGTTAGTTAGTTAGTAGTTAGTTAGTTAGTAGTAGTTAGTTAGTTAGTTAGTTAGTAGTAGTTAGTAGTAGTTAGTTAGTTAGTTAGTTAGTATATAATTACTGCCACTGATATTAAATTTTAAGGCCCAGAAAGTCTAATGTACATTATAGTTTGTATCGGACCATATTCGTCCCTAGCCCTCGTAAAATATTGTGTACATCTATGGTATTCGACATAAACTAGTTTAAGGGAAACCAAAATCTGCACTAAATCTTATGAGCATCAGATTATAACAGACCCTATCATATATAACCCTTGTTAGGGAAAAAAGGTTCGCATAGTCGAACACAACACTCTTACTTGTTTATTGTGGGTGACTAGACAAATATAACACTCTTTCTTTCTCTACTTGGGATTTCATTTTATTTTTATGATTAAAATCAAACAAAAGTATCTAAGGAGAAGGAACTTAAAGAAAGAGAATGAAATTATATAATGGCATTCTATTCTAGTACATAAATTTCAATGCAACATACTCATAACTACATGCAACAGACAATCTTTTTTTACAGCAATTGTGTTGTGATTTATTGTATTCTAAGTGCAATACGAATACAAGTACAAACACTAGTGAGGAAGTTTTATTTTTTACGAGCTTCTTATTTTGCATTTAAGAATTATTACATTATGTATAATAAACTATTTAAAAACATTTATCTATGTACATACTAGTTGTTGGTTTGGAAATAATAAAATAAAATTTTAAATGGTTGAAATGTTTAAAGAGAGATTTGCATAAACAAACTATATATTTAATAAGTAGAATGCAAATGAAAAATTCCATTGGATTTATAGTGAAAATATAAAATGAGTTTAATATTAAATTGAAGTGCCAGCAACACAATTTTAATCATATTATAAAAAATAAAGCTGCAATTTTTATAAAAATACAACTTTTTTATTTTACTTATAAATTATGAATTGTTGTAGCAGTTTAAGAGATGATAATAGTTTAAAATATTTTAATTTTCACTGATATATTGTTAAACTTATATTTGCTTTTGTTTCATTTTCAGCGTGCTGATTTGGGTATAACCGATTTAACTATGACATCGGATCGAGAAAGTGCTGTCGACTTTACTATTCCTTTTATGAATCTCGGTAAGTTATTGCATTTTTTGTATTATTGTATTAATTACTGGTGAAAGGAAGCGTCATGCCTTCTATGGAACGGTTCTGGAATTAGTTGAATTTGCCACCATTAGATATAGTTTTAGAAAAGCTTTAGACCTTCATTAACATAGTTGATTCCTGTTCCAAATTGTTCAGGTTATGATAAAGTATATATATATTCTGAATTTTTATTGAAAACGAAGTCGATTTAGCGATGTCCGTCTGTCTGTTGAAATCAATTTTCTGAAATTCCCACATTCCAAATCTTGGATAATTTGATCAGACATGCTTTCGAGAGGTTGAAAAAATCGGTCAATGTAAATCGTGTGAAAAAAGTATACAGCTTCTATATCTTAACGAAGAAGCTGACTAAGGAATTGGAAAGTATTTCTTTAACACATTATTAATAAGACGTTATTAAAGTACTTCTATGTAATTAAAACGATATGTAGTAGTCATTGTTAATAGGTAAGTGGTAAAATTGCAAGTCATTACCAACTTTTTGCTGGCCTATACCTAAATTTTTTTGGCCAAATGGGACACTTTGACTCTTTGCAAAACTACTGGGATAACTTTGAATGCTCTAACTTATTTACAAAAAGGAAAAAACTATTTAACACAAGTAAGTGCATCCAATTATAATTTATTCTTTGAAAAATAGAATAAAACTTCAAATGACATAGAACTACAAAGAAAATAGAAATACACCTTAATGAGTAAAATCTATGTAGTAAGGTATGCGTATAAAAGTGTACTTATAGAAATAGCAATAACAACTCATTAGTCTCTAAATATAAGCATATCGTTACTTACAATGTAAAATGCTTTTATGAAATTTTTAAAAAAATTATTATTTTATTCGAATTTCCATAAAAATCTATTCAAATTGAATGCGAAAGCCTAAGAATTTATTCATCACATAAGTTTAAAATATGTATCTCAGTTTTTTGCGACTGTCCTCAACGCAGCTAAAATCTTTCGAAAAGTACCCAGCAAAAACTAGGTAATAGCTTTCAATTGTAATTACTTACCTAACAACATACTTGTTAATGAATACTACATATCGCCTGGACTACATAGAAGTAGTCTAATAAGGTCTTATTAATAATATGTTATATAAATACTTTCTGATTCATAAGTCATCTTGCCAGTAAAGATATATCATGCGATTTACAATGACTACATTTTCTAATTACTTGTAATCCTTTGGGGTAAGTACTTGCCTCCAATGATATCACCGTGTTAAAATAATGATTTAAATGACTTTTTGAGTAAGTAAATTTTAGCATTTTAAGCCCTTATATGGTAATGAAAGTTTTTACTGGGTAGTGTTGCTTCCAAGTATATAAATACCTTTATAACTTTGCTTGATTTACCTCTTTATTTCTTCTGTAAAATTCTTTTATAATTTAGTTAAAGCCTTTTTCATTTTAAAAGACGAAACCCATATAAAAGTTCGAGCACACATGTCTTTCTTGACAACTCTATATTGCACTAGGCAGCTCCAACAAAATATGAATAAAAAAATTGAATTGAATTTCAAATATGATTCAACGAAATTTTCTAAATAGTAACCAGCCCAGCAAAAACCTCCTAATGACTTGTACTTACTCAACAACATACTTTTCAAGGAAAACTACTTACCATCTGCATTACTTAGAAGTACTTTAGTAATGACTTTATTTTAATCTGATTTTGTTTACACATATTACAAAAAAGAAAACAAAATTAAATTGAAAAACCATTAATTTATTATTAAAAAACAAAACAACTTATTCAACAACTTCTTTGTAAGCGAGAGCTTAAGTACTTCTTTAACTCCCTATTTGTAAACGAGCGTAGTAAGTACTTGCCTCCAATGACATCACCGCATTTAAATAATGAGTTAAAATGCCAATGAGTAGAGTAGTGAAAAGAGGTTTTATTAGATTTTTAACTCATTCCTTTTCAATTTAAGTTTAAGGGAACATTAATTGTTCCAGGAAATCAAATTTCCGTAGATTTCGGATACCCCAGGATTACAAATTTCAGATCAATTAATATGATTTAAAATCATCAAAATTTGTGCATAAAAATCCCATCACACTATTTTTTCCCTTACGTTTCAAATATAGATCGTAGACTTACAAATACACACATATATATATACTTATATATGTAGATGGATTCCGGATCTAGAAATAAATATCCGTCTGACCTATGGAGCTAAGAAAGTTATATTGTTTTCAAATGTTCCCAGGATGATAGTTGTTGGTATTGATTTTTTGAAAAAATACATCCCAGGAAATATTCTATTAAATTTCGGTAGGGGTCATATATGGCCCGATAAACATATTTTACAGTATACATTGTGGGTGCAGAAAACTGAATTATACAAAATTTTTATTCTTGACAATCTTAATTGTATTCTAGGGATTCACTAATTGAAAAGGTAAACCGATTTTCTTAGAATATACTTATAAGAACCCAGAATGTACATTCATATACACTATCGGACGAAATAAAGTGCAAAAGTACTCATGTTATATTCTTTCAGCGAAAAATCTGTTAAATGATTACTGAATATGGAATTTTTTAAAATTCATTTAGTTTATATGCAATGCTACAAAAATTACAATAAAACAAAATCATTCCACCTAAAATTTTTCTGTATAACATCCAAAATTAAAGTAAATTCACCTTTTTGTCGGACAAAATAAAGTGTAAATTTTATATATCATTATTTAAATTTTTTGTATATCAAAATTTTTTATCTATTTTGGTTCTGATTTGAATATCTGGATCTACTTAAGCCATTTTTTTAATTTTTTTACCATTATTATTCGCAATCGCCTTCCCTTCCCCTTGCTTTCCCCCATACGATTATTTTCAAATGAAATCCGTTTTTGTTCGCTATTTCAGCAGAACTTTTTATCAATTGTGGTCAAAAATTAATCTATTGGATTTAGGGCGATGGTCTGAGTAGGTCATTCCAATTTTTCGGTGTTTTTTTTTCTTACAGTAATGTTTTTAACCTTTGTCGTGTGTTTGAAGTCATAAATCTGTTGAGGCATTAAGTGTCCCAAATCCATTTTTACGGCATTTATTTAAAAAAAAATTATTAAATACGCTCGTGAATTGCTCAATTGTTATTGTTTACTCCATCTTCACTAAGATTCCCGCTCCTAAGGTTGAATAATGTACCAATACCGATAGCCCCCCACCATAATGTTTAAAACCTGGGGTATTGTTTTTAAAATATTGTATATTGAAGGGTTTAACTCACACTCATTGTCGACATTTTAAAATTTTCGGTACAAATTAGGACTCATCTGACTATCTACGCAAATTTGAGGTAAAAAATACAAAATTAAATACTAAAACCGAAAAAAAATTTCCATGCTTTTAAATGTGTTGGTGAAAGATTGAACGTATGGGTCAGTTGACTCTTCGTATGTGTTTAATTTTTAATGTTAGCTGTGGGGAACCTAGGGGAAATTTATTCAAAAAGCTCTAGTGAACACTATGTGAGCATATTACAATCAAATCTTAAGATCAGTGCCTTCGAATTGGACTTGGGCAACTTTATATCTCGGAAAGATAATAAGCTTAAGCGCTTGATAAAGTTAAAAAATATCATTACTGTAGGAAAGAACACTGAAAATTTAAATAAGTTGCTCAGAGCACCGCCCTAAATCCAATAGATTAATTTTGGACCACAATTGATCAAAAAATTCCGATGAAATAGTGATCAAAAACGGATTTCTTTTGAAAATAATCATATGCGAAAAGCAAGGGGAAGGAAAGGCGATTGCGAATAACAATGGTGAACAAAATTACCAAAATGGCTTAAGTAGATCCAGATATTCAAATCAGAACCAAAATAGATAAAAAATTTTGATATACAAGAAATTTAAATAATGATATATAAAATTTACACTTTATTTTGTCCGACAAAAGAATTGAATTTACTTTTATTTTAGAAGTTTTACAGAAAAATTGTAATTACAATAATTTAGTTTTATTGTTATTATTGTAGCGTTGTATATTAACTAAATGATTTTGAAAAAAATTTCCATATTCAATAATCATTTAACCGATTTTTCGATGAAAGAATATAGCAGTACTTTTGCACTTTATTTTGTCCGATAGTGTATATACTTTTTGATGGCAGATGTAAAAATGTCTTTCGAAAATCTATTCTCCTCTGGAGCATTCTAATATTTTACACATTAACTACTGTTACTTAGTGTCATGGTAACACCAACATCAGTAACTCAAGCCAAGGCAAGTGTAGTGGAAACAGAAGTACCATCTCTTCTATTATCTGAATTTTAACACATTGCAATTGTACTATGTGCTGTTGGCACATGCATTTACATATATACATACATGCACACACTGTAATAAAACTGCACATGTTTATGATTAAAGTCAATGACAAAAACAGAACGCACAGACATCCTTAATTATGACAGAATTCTTTTACACTTAGCAGAATTATTGTGTACATTAAAGTAAATTTACATTTTTTTGGAAACATTGAAGAAGATAGCTATCTGAACTCCTTTGGACAATTTTTGCTAGAACCAACAGGTGGAAAGTTACACGCATTTGAATAAAACCTGCATGACCAAAATGTCCGATATTGACGCCCTCTAAGTCCGGCAGTTCTAGACCGGTAGCGCTGAAAATGTGTGTCTGGCCTACTATCCAATAGTATACTAACCTTGGTGTAAATTTCGTCAAAATGGATTTTTTGAGTTGGGTCACTTGCCATGAAATTGCCTGCCCATATGTATGATCATTATTCATCTTTATTAGATGCTAAGAAAATCTAACCATGTCCGTCTGTTTAAAAATAAGTCGTTAATAAAATGACAAATATGACTTAAATATGAATATATGTAAGTCATTATAAAAGTACTTAAATGTAATGCGGATAGTCAATGAAAAGTAAGTAGTTATGTTAGTATACGTCATAACCATGTTTATATTTTGTGGTGGGGTTAGTTGGTATGAAAGTGGGATCCTGATTTACATATACCACATATTAGTACAAATTTCGGTCCACCAAATATGTCTCTAGGTGCTGTTACTAAAACAGTAAAGCCATCTCAGTAGTATGGTTGCGCAGTCTTTAAAAGATTGAAGATTGCACTTAAATGAGTAAGAGATCAGTTAGAGCGAAAATTTGAGGAAAGCCGCCAATAGCCCTTTACAAAAATTGCCAACTGAGTGTTCATCTATGACCAAGTCAAGTGGTGGACTATCTCTAATCCATCAAGTTGTTGAAAAAGGGGCATCGTTAGATTAGCTAGTCAATGCAGGTTAAGCACATTGACATCTTGACGACTAGATAATAAAAAACAAATATTTTTCAAGTGTACCACTTTTGAACTTTACATCTGGAAATCTAAAGAAAAGTTTCCTTAAAATACATACCGTTATACCTACACAGCCTATGTTAGCCTGGAAGTAGAAACACTGCACTTTAGTGACACAATGATAAAGCATAAGTTATGTAAAACTTGCTACATATTCTTCTTATTAGGACAGTGATGATGATGACGACGTTGACGGTAATGTCACTAGTATAGCAAGTTGACAAATTCTGTCATTGTTTTACTCATTAATTACTCATACTTATGAACTTTTTAAATGTACAAATTCAAAATTTTTCTCTGTATTCATATTTGTTCATTCTAGGTATTGCCATTTTATTTCGCAAACCCATGAAGGAACCACCCAAACTCTTCTCCTTTATGTCACCATTTTCCGGAGAAGTATGGCTGTGGTTGGGTCTAGCTTATGTTGCCGTCTCCTTGAGCATGTTTATATTGGGTCGCATATCACCACCCGAATGGGATAACCCGTATCCTTGCATAGAAGAGCCTACTGAACTTGAGAACCAATTTACATTTATTAATTGCTTTTGGTATGCTGTAGGTACACTCTTGCAACAAGGTTCGGAATTAGCACCAAAGTAAGTAAGGATCAGGTGGATGGTTTTTAAAATGTATGATGGCATTAAGCTGGAAATGCTGCAGGCTATTTTAAATACTTTTAACAAATATGTATGTGTATGTGTGTGTGTTTTTGTTTTCTCTCCTTTTCAGAGGTTTTTCAACACGTGCTGCTGCCTCATTTTGGTCGTTCTTTACATTGATTCTGGTGTCTTCGTATACAGCCAACTTGGCTGCATTTTTAACGGTCGAATCATTAAGCACACCTATAGAGAATGTCGAGGATTTGGCTGCTAACAAAGGTGGTGTTAACTATGGTGCTAAAATTGGCGGCAGTACATTTACATTTTTCAAGGTAACGTTTAGTGTGTGAAGAAAAAATATGTCCGTATTTGAATTTTTAATTAAGAAGGATAGCTTTTAAAAGGACATTGCTAAAGCTGTTTTAAACATGAAATAATTTTACAAAAAGTATAAATATTGTTCCAAAATCGGAATTCTCTATGTATCTGACAGAAATCATTTTGTAGATTGTAAAATGACATTATGTCTTTGATATATAATAGCTAACCTTCCCCTCTTTTGTTCATTCGATAATTAAAACAAATGTCTGCACTCAACTAACCTCTTTATCTTTCATATTCATTTTTTGTCTCATTTTCATAATTCAATGCTACCGGAGCAGGATGCAAAATTTCCAACTTATCAAAAAATGTACGAGTTTATGTCAAGTCATCCGGAGTACATGACATCTTCGAATGCTGACGGTGTTACACGTGTCGAACAGGAAAACTATGCCTTTTTAATGGAATCCACAACGATTGAATATATCACGGAACGACGTTGCAGTCTAACACAAGTTGGTTCATTATTAGATGAGAAAGGATACGGTATTGCAATGCGTAAAAGTAAGTAGAAACATATTTTTAAATTTTGAAACAATTGAAATTTTTAAATATTTTTTTTTTTTAAGAATTTTTTATAAAAAATGTTCGATAAAATATTCTAAAAGTTTCTTTTTATAGAAAATTTTTGATAAATTTTCTTTTCATAGAAAACTTTTGATCAATTTTCTTTTTATAGAAAATTTACTTTTTTCTCGGGGGAGTTTTCCAGATTTTTCCTACCGAGCGCGTCCCCGGGTGGCGGATAGGGGGTGGTGATGGACCATCTGTCCTCTCCCAGCTTTAATTTCACTTAAGCTGAGGGAGGGCAGATTGTCCACCACCTGGGAATATTATATTCCCCGCGGACCAAAAAACTGGAAAAAAAAAAAAACAAATATGGAAAATAAAAATAAAAAGATAAAAGTTACGGTGCAGGGCCTAAATAACCCAGTACCGGCGGCAAGTGTTGATCTACTCGCGAGTCACGTGTCGTCGTCATCCTGCAATCGTGAGCAGAATACTACTACGGAGGTGGGTACCTTGGCCTCCGTGGCGGACAATGCGTCAAGTGTACAGCATGCCGCTGGCAAAAATATAGGGGTGAAAGAGAAGGATGTACTCGGAGAGAGCTCTAAGCTACCTCAGCCTTTAAATATAGGTGAGGGTTCCGACTCTGAATCCTCAGATGATAATAATAATAATACCATTATAGCAAATCCCAAAAAGGATGAAGTAGAGCAAATGGTGAAAGAGGTGAGTGATAGCATAGCTAAACTACCTATTACTAAGAAAAGACTTTCTGGAGCACAGAGGAGGAAGTTGAAAAAGATGCTTCAGGAAATCATAGTTAGTCAATCCCACGACACTCCAAAGGAAAAATCGGACTCTCTCACAAGATCTGAGGCAAAAAGGATCAGGTCTCCCGAGGAGTTGACAACTGAGAATAAGCCTAAGAAGAAAAAGAGCTCCCCGTCTTCTAATACACAGTCGAAGCCAAGCCATACTTCACTCAAAGGAATCTCAAGTGAGAATCCTGCGAGTAAGGGTGACAACGCCAAGCCAGATATTCCGAAGACGAACACGTCGGCGAAATCAACCTCGAAGGTAAGGGAATCTCAAAAGAAGCCCCGAAAAACGAGGAAGGAGAAGCTAGACGGAGGAAAAGGTAAAGAGCCGCCATCTTACGCCAAAGTTGCCAGAAGTAGGCACCGGGACGATCTCTGCTATGCAGTTTACGATGCCGGTAATCCGACAGGCAAAATTCCAATAGACCAACAGAGTAAAATAGAAGACCTGGTCAACAATAAGATAGTGGACCATGCAATAGCTTCAAAGGGCAAACAACCAATAGAGAGCGAGAGCTGCGAGTTCAGCATGGGCGTGATGTTGATGAGGTTGGCATCTCACCAATGTGTTAGCACCCTAAAGAACTTGGTGGAAAGTATCCCTCCTCCCTGGGACGGCGCTAGGCTGGGACTGGCAAAGAAGAGCGAGCTTCCGGTGCTCCTAAAGTCCACTGTCTACATAAAAGGATGGGGCAGTAAACTGGCTAATGAACGTATACTGGAAATTCTTGGAGGTCAAAATGCTGAGCTGGCCGTGGAAAAATGGGATGTCTTTTACAGGAAAGAAGAACCTGAGGGAACTTTATTTGTAATAGGTATCGACCAGAAATCCATGGCTAGTCTTGCCAAGAATAAAGGTAGGGCTTACTTCGCCTCTAAATCTGTCATATTCAAAATTGGGAAGGTGCCGATTGGAAGGGCTGTTACAACAAGCCTCGAAAAGGACACTAAAAAACCTAAGACCACAGTATCCACTACTGATAACGTTGAGGAGTCAAATCCTAAAATCGAGGAATTTACCATTAACTCGCCAGAAGAAAGTGTAGTTGCCCTTTCCAAAATTGGGAAGGCGCCGATTGAAAGGGCTGTCAAAACCGGCCCCGACAAGGACACTAAAACACCTAAGACAGTACCCAAAGCATCATTAGCAAGTACTAGCAATGTTGAGGAGTCAAATCCTAAAAGCGAGGAGGAAATCACTCACCCGCCAGAAGACAGAACAGCAATGCTCTCCAGAATTGGGAATGTGTCTATTAAAAATACTGCTATTCCTATGCCTGATAAGGACACCGCAGTGCCATCAACAGTACTCACTGCATTAATAGCCACTTCAGGCTATCCGGAGGAGTCAAATCCAAAGAGCGAGGAGGTGACCACCAACTCGCTGGAAGACAGTTTAATGGATGACCATGATTGAGGTTATCCAAATAAACCTCCATCGGAGCGAGACAGCTACCAACGCTCTGATGGCTAAAATCAACACAGGTAAAATACATATAGCTTTAATCCAGGAACCTTGGACGATTCGCAACAAGGTTTCTGGATTAAATCACGTAAATTTCCAACTTTTCTACGCTGATACAGGATCTCGCCCGAGAACATGTATCTTATGTCACAAGAACTTATGTTTTCTCCTCTCAACAGGATTATCAACATCGGATGCAACGGTGCTGAAGCAAGGTCGAGGCAACATATTCCTTGCATCTATTTACCTGCCTTTCGATTCTCCGACCCTACCACCAACGTCGGATCTGATGAAACTGGTTGAAGAGGCACAAAGGAAAAATAAGAAAATTGTAATAGGTTGTGATGCCAACTCGCATCATGTAGCTTGGGGTAGTACAAACACCAATCGCAGGGGACAAGCCCTCATGGATTTCTTTAATACTAAAGACTTGATAACATTGAACTTAGGTAATAAAGCTACCTTCGTCAATAGAATCAGAGAAGAAGTATTAGATATAACTATATGTTCAGAAGAGCTTATAAACGAAATTCAGGATTGGAGAGTTTCGGACGAGCACTCCTTTTCTGATCATCGGTACATAAGATTCAAAATACTAAGGCCACCACCAAAGCCGATAAAGTTTCGGAATAAGTCTAAAACTAATTGGACAATGTTCGGGGCCTTACTAAAGAACCGTTTAGGTCAGGATACTTTTCAATGTCGAAATAAAGAGGATATAGATGCCAAAGTGGAAACGTTCACAAGTGCCCTGGTTGAATCGTTCGAGGACAGCTGCCCTCTGCGAGAGCGGAGATCTGCCCAGGAAAAACCCTGGGTAACTGGGGAGATCCGGAACCTTGGGAAGACTCTTCGCAAACTATTTAACCGGGCACGGCGTAAAAAGACCGCAGTATACTGGGATGAGTATCGTAATAAACTTGGTGAATATAAGAAAATCGTTCGAAAAGCCAAACGAGACTCCTGGAAACTTTTCTGTGAACAGGTAGATAGCGTAAATGACGTATCGAAGATAAAAAAATTCCTATCCAAAACTCATGTCCAACCGGAATCTATGATCGATGACACGGGCAGGAGGCTTGAGGATATGGAGGAGACAATGAAACTCCTAATGGATTCTCATTTCCCACCCGGTATATCGAATAACATAGATGAACCGATATTGGAGGAAGGGGAGGGTAACACGGAAATAGTTATTACAACTGACATGGTTAAAGGGGCAATCAAGAGCTTTGCTCCCTATAAAGCTGCAGGGCCGGATGGAATTTTCCCGGCACTTTTGCAGATGGAGGCGGGACTGGTTTCCGTACATCTGTCACAGATATTCACTGCATGCTTAAAATTGGCATATACCCCAGTTAAATGGCAGGGTGCAAAGGTAATATTTATACCCAAACCAGGGAAACCTAGCTATGCGACACCTAAGTCCTATCGACCGATAAGTCTTACGTCCTTCCTACTTAAAACCTTGGAACGGATAGTCGATAGCATGGTTAAAAGCAGCATACCATACAATGACCTTAAATATAAGCAGCATGCTTATGTAAAGGGACGATCGGTGGAAACCGCTTTAAATGAAGTTGTCCACTACATAAGTGAATCTTTCGATAGCAAACTGTATACACTGGCAGTATGCATTGACATCGAAGGCGCTTTCAATAACGTGCACACTGATACCCTTATCCAATCCCTAGACCAGTTTTATGTTGACCGGGTGCTCCGTAACTGGATCAACTACATGCTAAGGAACAGATGGATAAGCTGCGAGATGTACGATATAACTATCAGGAAACAGGTATTTCGCGGTATACCACAGGGTGGCATTTTGTCACCTTTACTCTGGGTCACCACGATTAATAGCCTCCTAAGGACCCTAACCGAGAAAGGACTTAGACCTGTCTGCTATGCAGACGATGTCGTAATACTTTTAAAGGGAAAGGATCCAAATTACTTGTGTAGAAGAGCTGAGGAGGCTCTGAATACGGCCTTGAGCTGGGCTCAACCGAGAGGCCTCAATGTTAACCCGGCGAAGACGGAAATCTGTCTTTTCACAAGAAAGACAAACATTTCTACATATACTGAACCTTGCTTCTTGGGCAAGAAGATACCGGTGACAGACAAAGTTAAGTACTTAGGTGTAATACTTGACCGGAAATTAAAATGGAGACACCACATAGAGGATAGGATCAACAAGGCACATCGGTGCTGGGCGATATGTAGGAGAACCATAGGCATGAAATGGGGTCTTAGTCCTACTATGACAAATTGGCTTTATAAAAGTGTAATTAGACCAATTCTAGCTTATGCTTCAATAATTTGGTGGAGTGCTTTGGACAAAAAGTGTAATATCAAACTACTGCAGGGAGTTCAGCGTACATGCTGCTTGGGTATAAGTGGTGCCATGTGTACTACTTCAACCAAGGCTCTGGAAACGTTGCTAGATATTCCACCCATTGAAACATATATAAGATATGAGGCGGCGCTTACAGCCGAACGGCTCTTTACTTTAGGCGAACTGGCCAAAAACGGTTATAGGACACGTCATCAATGTATACTGGACACATTGGAAGGTTATACACATTCATCGGACGTGCCTGATCGCATACCAGACACTGAATATGTCGGAAACTTTGAAACGCTAATCCCAGATAGAATGTCTTGGTCAAGCGGAACATTAGAGCAAATACCAGTAGGAATCCGTTGCTACACGGATGGCTCTAAATTAGGGGACAAAGTGGGTCTGGGGTTCTATATTGAAGACCCAGAAACAGAAATATACCACCGTTTACCTAATCATAACACAAGCTTCCAGGCAGAAGTACGAGCAATAACGGAATGTGTAAATTGGATTAGAATAAATATGGCGCCCACAGGGCTTAATATATTTACCGACAGCCAGAAGGCAATTTGTGCGATATCAGGTGATAGAATTAAATCTAAGACTGTATTGGATTGTAAGAAAGCTTTAACTGAATACTCTCCCAGAGGTAAGGTTCACATCATATGGGTACCAGGCCACTCGGGAGTAGTCGGCAACGAAAGGGCGAATGTAATAGCTTTAAAGGGAAGGGAGCTCGATGTAGTTAACCTGACAAACGCAAAACCATTCGACGCAACAAAAGCTGAATTAAAAATATGGATGAGAGAATCCCATAAGGCCTCTTGGAATAATGAAACGGTGGGTAGAACCACAAAGATTCTATGGGGTGACCCTGATGAGAGCAAGACGAGAAATCTTCTCAAAATGAGCAAGTCTGAGGTTAGTATGATGGTACGTATTCTCAGTGGACACACAGGATTACGAGCACATCTATACAAAATTGGACGTGCGAATTCAGACGAATGTAGAGCATGTGGAGAGGACAGTGAAACTCTGGAGCACTTTCTTTGCCATTGTCAGGCATTCGTCGAAGTTAGATCCAAGTACCTTGGAAGTGATGTTATTCCAGAAATAACATTCTTAACCAACACCGATTGGAAGATTCTTAGGAATTACGTCCAGGAAACTGAGTTTCTGAACATGGAAAAATAATACATTCAGTGAACAATTTTTTTTTTTTTTTTTTTTTTTTTTTTTTTTTTTTTTTTTTTTTTTTTTCTTGAATTGGAGCGCACAACAGGCCCGATAGTGGCCTAGGTGTATTTCTTCGGATTTGATGTAGTATACATCCTCCTATCAACCTACCTACCTACCTACCTACTTTTTATAGAAAATTTTCAATAAATTTTCTTTCTATAGAAAATTTTCAATAAATTTTCTTTCTATAGAAAATTTTCAATAAATTTTCTTTCTATAGAAAATTTTCAATAAATTTTCTATCTATGGAAAATTTTCAATAAATTTTCTTTCTATAGAAAATTTTCAATAAATTTTCTATCTATGGAAAATTTTCAATAAATTTTCTTTCTATAGAAAATTTTCAATAAATTTTCTTTCTATAGAAAATTTTCAATAAATTTTCTTTCTATAGAAAATTTTCAATAAATTTTCTTTCTATAGAAAATTTTCAATAAATTTTCTTTCTATAGAAAATTTTCAATAAATTTTCTTTCTATAGAAAATTTTCAATAAATTTTCTTTCTATAGAAAATTTTCAATAAATTTTCTTTTTCTAGAAAATTTTCAATAAATTTTCTTTTTCTAGAAAATTTTCAATCAAATTTTCTTTTTATAGAAAATTTTCAATCAAATTTTCTTTTTATAGAAAATTTTCAATAAATTTTCTTTTTATAGAAAATTTGCAATAAATTTTCTTTTTATAGAAAATTTTCAATCAATTTTCTTTTTATAGAAAATTTTCAGTCAATTTTCTTTTTATAGAAAATTTTTAATCAATTTTCTTTATATAGAAAATTTTCAGTCAATTTTCTTTTTATAGAAAATTTTCAATCAATTTTCTTTTTATAGAAAATTTTCAATCAATTTTCTTTTTAGAGGAAATTTTCAACCAATTTTCTTTCTATAGAAAATTTTCAATCTATTTTCTTTTTATAGAAAATTTTCAATCAATTTTCTTTTTAGAGGAAATTTTCAATCAATTTTCTTTTTAGAGGAAATTTTCAAGAAATTTTCTTTTTAGAGGAAATTTTCAATAAAGTTTCTTTCTATAGAAAATTTTCAATCAATTTTCTTTTTATAGAAAAATTTCAATTAATTTTTTTTTATAGAAAATTTTCAATCAATTTTCTTTTTAAATTTGCTTTAAATTTTGGAAAAATTTTCATTCTATGGAAAATTCCCAATAAATTGACCAGAAATTTTTTATAGAAAATTTTAAATAAGTATTATTTATACCCTACACCTTAATAGAGTGAAGGGTATCATACGTTTGGGCTGATGTTTGTAACGCACAAAAACATTGGACCTACATCAATCTCAATATCCCTTTCTCAGTCGATTAACACATGTCCGTCCGTCTGGTTGGCTGTACATGTGAACCTCCAAAAAATGTCATAAACCTTCATAATTGACTTATAGCCATTAGTATTGCGATAAAACTCGAAATTTTAAGAAGATCGGTCCATATTTGGCACTATCTCCCATATAAAGCTTCTTTTAGAAAATTAGTTTTTCATCTATACATCGCAATTAAGATAATATTCAACATCAAAGTTTTTCTTTATAAAAAATAATTTTAAATAATTTTTAATATACTCATAACATTTTTATAATAAATATAAAATATATTTAAAATTTTTTACATTAAATATAAAATATTAGTTTTGTTCGTTCATTTATTTAGTTGAACTTTTTCAAATAAACTTAATTACTGTGTAATTGTTATTTTAATAACTCTTTGGCACGAAATGTACAGATAATGTCTATACTAGCACGTATATTGACTGCACCCAAATACTAAAACAAAATCATATGACCGAAAAATCGAAATACAAAATACACATTAACACCATTTGTGACCTAAACTGATATTTTAAGTGCAATTAGGAAAAATAAATTGCGTGTAAAAAAGAATTGCGCTTATTTAGAAACTGTCTAATATACATACATACGTACAGACTTAAATTACAAATTTAAGTAATCTTAATAATGACTTCAAATGTATTAGCACAATATGTATGTATATGAAAGTACACCCTTGTTAAAAACTAAGGATTAGATTGGATTATTGTGTTTTAATTTCAATTTTCTATTTAATATTATTTTGAGGTTTTTCTTTCTTAAAAACAATTAAGTCTTTTATAAAAGTTTTATATTAACAAAATAACATGCAATAAATCAGAGAATTTTTAAATTGTTTTTAATATTAAAAAGAAAAACTTTAATATCAAAGAATTAAGTTAAGTTTTTACTTTTTCTTTTGGTTTTTTTAAACAACAACCGCCAACAACAATGGCAACATTAAACCACAGATTGGCCTTATCGTGACATACTCAGTCAAGCTGTATTGGAATTACAGGAGCAAGGTGTTTTAACAAAAATGAAAACAAAATGGTGGCAAGAAAAACGAGGTGGTGGCGCTTGTGCGGTAAGTGTTTTATTATTTTTTTAATATTTTTTCTTTGTAAACATATATTATTTTTTCGAAACACTTGACACTGTCTGTACGGCCGTTTAAGATAATTTAGGAGTAATAAGTATTTATTCAGAACTAGTATAGTAATTGAAATGTTACTGTTAAGGTCCTAAGGTACATAAGCAAAAGCTTTGTACTTCGTGACAAATCGTTGTCGTTTTAATAGATGCCACTGAGTAATGAGTTCGAGAAATACACAACATGTCTATCGTACCTATGAATTTTTACAAGATATCTTCTTGCACTGATATATCTTCGTGAAATTTATGAAAACTGTTTTCTGTCTTGCTCATATCAAGGTTCATGTATTACTACTGATTGTGTATGCTTTGTTATTTCGGGAAAGACTTCGATGTCATCACAACAGTTTGTCATATTGCTGCGCGACTGAATGAGGTTTACCTCTTTCTTTCCGTTACAATTATTGAGTTTGATTAAATATATGAGTGTCTTTTATGTGGTGATATCACCTCGTCAAGAATGAGGGATTTTAATTAATTAAGGGCCAAATTTTCGTACAATAAATACGTCTTGAGGTACGGTTGAGGAATTCACCTTAGTGAGTCCGTAGAAGTTGAGGCGGAGTCTCATGTTATCGGTAACCTTGTAAGTCCACCGCTGTCAGGCAGAGTCTAGCTCCTCAAATGCTGTCATTGGGTTTCTTTAGAGATTTTTGATTGTCTCCTTCTTAGATCTTTATGATCATGGTAATGGAACTGATGCAAAAATTGGTGAAATTCGGATAGTCTTCATATATTGGAGATTAGTACTGATTTAGTATGCCTTTTTACGCTTCGGGGAAGTTTCTCAATGCTGTTGCCATCTCAACAGGATATATTTAGTCATGCTACGCGACTATTTGTCGGGTTCACTTGACTTTGGAAATTCCTACATCCTTTGTCTCGGATCTGTTCATGAAGAGGGATCCTGTTTTATTATTTTGGGTATTTCGGCTACCAAATACGTCTCTAGGTGCTGTTTCCAAACCAACAGAAGCCATCTCAGTAATGTGGTTGAGCAATTGTAAGAGGTCCAAGAATGCACTGGGGTGAATCTTTAGATGATAAGAATGTTTTTAGGGACAGAGCATGCCCCTTCTACTTACTCTAACCTTTGTCGGGTTTAGATTGAGCTTGCTCATGACACCTGTCTTTCCCCAACGGGGCTACTATGGCAAGAGATTAGATAGCTCGAGTACTTGAAGCACTTCGACATTCGTGTCTCCTCCTTATCGTGTAATCATTGGGTTAGCTCATGATGCCTGTAATAACGCAACGGATCTGCTATGGCAAGAGATTGGATAACTTGAGTACACGTATAATGAACCGGCGTGTAAGAAGCACAATGGGGCGGTGGTGAGTCGTTACATTTTAGCTCACACAGTGGATGAAAAAGACCACCGTGAAATAAGACCCTCATGGCAGGTGTTCACTTGAAGCACTTCGACATTCGTGTCTCCTCCTTATCGTGTAATCATTTGGTTAGCCTGTAATAACGCAACGGATCTGCTATGGCAAAAGATTAGTTAACAATAGTACATCAGCAAAGTCCGTGTTCATGGTTCGGCTGAATCATGTTGAAAACTTACCCCCCCTGAATGTTCTGAGATGTAAAAGGGCCACAGTGGGATTAGCCCTCAAGTCAGTTACTCACGATAATTATTTGTTATTAGGAGGTACACATTTTAAGCATTACATAGAGAGAGAGAGAGAGAGAGAGAGAGAGAGAAAGAGACTAAAACACTTCAAAAAACTACAATTTGCTTTCAAACTATGTCAATACGGTATAAATATATCAGGTCTATACAACCCCTCAACCTGAAGGAGACGGGTTGAAATTATAACAAACGTTCCATGTGGATAATGTTTAATATTACGAAAGGGCCCCATCGTTTGAATAAGAAATAGAAAGATCCAATGTTAGAACACAATTAAAATCCGATAGGTCGAAATCGGTGTACAGAAATTAACAAAACAATTTGTATTTAATTAAGTTGTTTTTTAACCTTTATTCTGAAGTAGTTATTTTAACAATTTGTTGACAAGAAATTGATTTTCTGAAAACTAGAGTTATAAGGATTTTTGTAAAGACAAAACAATATTTAACATAATTGTGAGCCCAAAAACCCTATTCGGAGGGTACGGTTGTATGGGGGCTAGGTGAAAAATGGCCCTATTTCAACCATTTTCAATGGGCTTCGTCCTTGAGAAGAGTATATACCAAATACTATTAAATTATCTTAAAAATTGCGACGTGTTCTTTGATGACAAGGTTTACATGGACACTTAGACCGACGGACATGGCTTAATCAACTCAGAAAATGATTACTAGGCGATTGGTATATGTATATACCCTCCGCACTAAAGTGGTGTAAGGTATAATGAACTCCTAGAAATATGGAATTATATTTTTTAAAAAAGTGTCAAGTGTTTTATTAAATTTTATTTTAGTTTCCTACTTTTGTGTGCTTTTTCTTAACGACGACATGTTGAATATGCTGCTAATTTATTATTAACATAAATGACGAAAAAAAATATAAAAAACGCAAAAATTATTAACAAAACAGTAATGAAGAAAAGAAAATGTTATAACATTATTTTGCACTTGTATTAATCATACCAACCAAATTTTTTAAATCTAAGGCAACTAGTTCTGAAGCTGGAGCATTGGCCTTAGAAATTAGCAATTTGGGTGGTGTATTCTTGGTACTAATCGGGGGTTGCATATTTGGTATGTTCGTTTCAATTTCGGAAATGTTGATGGGCGTCAAGGCGCGCTGTGACGAGAACAAGGTATAACAACAGGCTGTTTAATTTTAATATATTTCTTTTTTTGAACTTCCTGGCTATTACTATTTCCTAAAACATTTCCCAAGAGCTTTTGGTTTGGTTTCCTATTTTTTTCGTTAAAATTGTTTTAGTTTTTAATATAAACAACAGCAATGAAAATTTACATTTGTAATGTATTCAATCATAAGTTATACTTTTTTTTGTATTTTTTTATATATATAAATATGACCAACAACCATAAACCAAAATAAAAATATATCCTGACCAACACATCAACCATGTCATATTACCTGTATATCATGCTGCCATGGGGAAAAATCGTTCAATCTCTGCAAAATATATATATGCACACACCTGAGGCACTTTAAATTTTTACACAATTCTTTTTTTCCCTCCTCTACAATCAAAATAAAATGCGTACAAAACGTTTCTTTTATTCGATACACTATTTGATGACAACACCACTTTGGCCTCTCACACCAAAATCCCCTCCAACCAACTTCCTAAAATATTTGATTTGTATCTTTCTCTCTCTCCCTAAAAATACAAATGCTTAACCAAACCCCTTGTGAAAAACAACAACGAAAATGTACAAAAAAATTATCAAAAAAAAAAAAAAAAAAATCCAAGAACAGGATAAAAAATCTGAGGGTGCTGCCGAACTTGGTATGGCCAATGTAGGTGGCATATATGTGGTTTTGCTTATGGGATGTATTACTGCCACTTGCTTTGGCATATTGGAGTGGATTTCACACATTTATGCTACCGCACGACACTACAAGGTATCAAAAAAGAAATAAAAGCAACAAATTTAATAACATCTAACATTTTAAAAGAAGTAAAAAATTGTTATCAACACATCATATTGTATTTTGTCTGTACATCGTCTTACTCTTCATTGTATTTATTCAATGTGCCGGCAAAACTAAACACCAACAAAAACGTTCCTTTTCATCCTTTTACATTTTTCTTTAGTTTATAAACATTTTTTGTAAATAATCCATAAAGAATTTTTTTTACAACCATAATCATAAACATTTCACTTGTCTTACATTTTGAATCCCTGTTAGTATGCTTTAAATTTTGCTTGAATTTTGAACCTAAATATAGGCCATGTTTTTTTTAACACTTTTTCTGTGTAACTAAAAGTATGCTTTATCTTACATTATCAAACATTTTACGTGTTCTTTTCCACTAGAGCCAATTAGCTTCAAATAAAAACAATTGTTTAAATATTTTTATATTTATTATAATTAATGCATGTTGCTTGCCCTCTAAATTCCCCAGCAATAAACTCCCAATAATTGTGTGTTTGTGTTTTAATCACATTTCTCTTTTAATCTGCATCACCATTTTTGCTTATGCTTCCAATACAAAATTCTTAAAGTTTCTTAAATAATAAAATTTTTTCTTTGATAATTTCTCAACGAAAAACTAGGTCCCCTTCAAATCCGAATTAATGGATGAGCTGCGCTTTGTATTAAAATTTTCTGGCAACACTAAGCCTGTTAAATATCCCAAACGCTCGAGCTCCAAATCTACAGCATCTTCGAAAGGTGGTTCGACCTCTTCATTGTCAGTAGAATCTTTGACTCATGATGATCAACATTTGCAAAAACGCAAATCAATGAAATAATTTAATAAATTGTATTTTTTTTGATGAATAAAGTATTTAATAAAAAAAGTTAAACTTTATCTAAATTTAACTGTCCTTTAAGAAATTAGGTTAATAATTTAGCTTATTCACAAACCCAACAGTTTGGGGGTCATTGTACAAAATTGTATGTGCCACCAGCGTTGCCATATAAATTGTCGTAAAAATTCTTATTAAGGAAAAAATAATTTTTCAATAAAAAAATAAAATTTTAAAATTTGTCACATCATGTCACGCATCATTAAGTGTCCACATCTTAGGAAAAATATATATTTGTATACCCTTCACCTTCGGGAGAAGGGTATAAATGTTGAATTGCTTTACATGAACACCTGCCGCGTTGTCCTATTTCACTGTGGTCTTTTCCAACCACTGGGTGAGCTTCTGTGACGACTCACCAGCGCTCCTTTGTGTATCATATATGCTGGTGGCAATTTTTGTACATTGTTGTGCCGGTCCATGTACAAGCACTTTGTTCATGTACTTGAGCTATCCAATCTGTGACCATTGCTGCCCAGTTGCTTAACTTCCGAAATGTAAGAACTTCACTTCCTTTAACAAACACGCAGATGGGATGGCCTCTTTTAAGTCGGCAACAGCTCCCAGAGACGTTATTTGGTAGACCGAAACACGAATCCGTGGTAAATGTGGTATGAACAGAGATTTCACTGAACATATCTGGACAAGGAAGGAAAATTCAATGGTATCACTTGTATAAGATACCTTGCAGCCGTCACCATTCAACCCAGCACACTTCTCATTCATCCGACACACTCAATAGAGAACAACATCCGACACACTCACTCTAGGTATATGGGCGGTTAAGATCCATATACCCCTACATTCATCCTGTATCATATACACTTAAAACACCTTCCAACGCTTAGTACCACAGTCACTCCTTTGTGGAGTATCTGTTGTCAATCGGCAACAGCACCGAACATATCCCGAAATATAGATTTCACGGAGTCGATTAAACCATGTCCGTCTGTCTGTCTCTCTGTTTATCTGTCTTGTGTGTGTTGAAATCAGTTTTCAGAAGACCCCAGATATCTGCGAGATTCGAATCTTCAATAATGCTATCAACCTAGAAACATGAAACTAAGCATGTAGAGTCCGCAGTAAATGAGAACTTATAAAAGGGAACATTTTGGTACTTTTTCGTACTTCAAAAGGTACTTTTTGAATTTCTTATAATATTGAACCTGGAAACGAGAAATTAAGTTGGTAGAGCTTGGAGTAAGTGATAACTTTCTAAAGGATTTTTTTTTGCATTCTTTCCTACTTCAAAAGGTACTTTTTGAATTTTCTATAATATTGAACGTAGAAACATGAAACTATGCATGTAGAGCCCGGAGTAAGTGAGAATCTATAAGAAGTGATTTTTGGTACTTTTTATAATATTAGACCCAGAAACATTAAATGAGAACCTTTAAAGTTTATTTCATGGTACTTTTTCATTCCTCCAATGGTACTTTTTGAGTTTTCTATAATATTGAACATAGAAACATGAAATTAAGCATGTAGAGCCCGGAGTAAGTGAGAACCTATAAAAGAGGACTTTTTAGTACTTTTTCGTCTTTCAAAGTGTACTTTTGGAATTTTCTATAATATTGAACCTAAAAACATGAAACTAAGCATGTAGAGTCCGGATTAAATGAGAACCTACTTTACGTTCTTCAAAAGGTACTTTTTGAATTTTCTATATATTGAACCTAGAAATATGAAACTAAACTTGTAGAGTCCAAAATAAGTGAGAACCTATAAAAGGGCATTTTTGGCACTTTTTAAATTTTCTATAATAATGAACCTAGAAACATGAAATTAAGCAAATAGGACCCGGATTAAGTGATAACTTATAAAAGGGGATTTTTTGAAACTTTTTCTTTCTTTAATAAGTACTTCTTGAATTTTCAATAATATTGAATCTAGAAACATTAAAATTAAAGGATTTTTTGGTGCTTTTTCGTTCTATGACTGGTACTTTTTGGTTTTTATGCACACATGCAGCACCCTGTTGGAATGAAAATCTATTAAAGGGGACTTTCTGGTACTTTTTTCGTTTTTCAACTTGTATTTTTTGATTTGTTGTAATAAAATTAGTACTGAGTGTTTCTTATAACACATCAATGTGAAGGGTACATAAAATTAGGCGCATTGGCATATTTACAAAATTTTAAGCAACCGTAAAAGTACACAAGGGTTAATGTTATGTGATATGAAATTTAACAAGGGTTAAAAAGTTTGAAGTATATTGTAAATTTAGCGCCACCTAGTGTTTAGTAGTATTAATTGTTGTGAATATATTTAGCGGTGACACAAACCATAATAACAATGAGAACAGTTGAAGTAACTTCCTGCTCTTCTCTCTGAAAAAGGAAACAGTTTTATGTTGTTTGTAATTTTATAATTTCGCAATTTATTTAATGGTTTATTTATTTATTATTTATTTCATTATATTCATTCAATTACAATTACATACATTCTTTAGACATCTAGAGATAGTGGAAAATGTTAATTTTTTTAAATTTTATTTATTATGGATTTTTTTTTAACTATATGATTCTTTTATTAAGGTTTTTTTTATCAATTTAAGTACATGTATTGTATGAATTATTTTAATATATTAATATTATTTTTTAGTTTTTAGTTTTTGTATTATATTGTATAATATATGTATGTATGTATATTTTGGTAGTATATAAACTTTTTTATTTAAAGTGGTTTTTTGTTAAGTTTTATTTTGTTTTTGTTGTTTTATATAATTCCTGAAATACTTTGTTTTTTTTTCTCTCTTTTTGTTGTAAATGTTTAGCAAAGTTTTTGTTTTTTTTTTTGGTATTGTTGTTTATTTAATGTTGTAATATATAATTTTCTTTATAAATGTTTCTTTTAGTTTTTTTGTATTTTTTTTTTTTTATAAACTTTATCGGTGTAATTATTTTGGGTGGTTTTAGTTAAAGTTTTTTTTTTCTTTTCATAAATATTTTGTTTTTATTTTCTTTAGTTTATTGTGTTTTTGAGTAGTTGTTGTAAGTAGTATTTTGTAGCTGGATTAGTTGTTGTAAGTGGTATTAGTAGTAGAAAGTGTATAATGTCGGTGGGTGTTAGGACCATTAAAGAGTTCTTTGTTGTTTTTTTTTCTTATTTTTTTATTTAACAAATATTTTTGTTTTTCAATTTGTAAATTATTTGAAGTTTAAAGCATACATCTGTTTACATTTTCTTTATAAATTTTTTATAAATATTTTTTTTTTCTTTAATTTTAAACTAAGTTTTTTTTCTTTATTTTAAGCAACATTTTACTTAATGTTTACAATATTAAAAAGCCATTAATTATTATTTTTTTATATGGTTTATTATTTTTAGTAAATTATATACTTATTTTGATTAGATTTTATTTTTTATTATTTAAAGACATTTTTTACTTTATTTATATTGGATTTATTTTTTAGTTTTCTCATTTATAGAAAAACATTTATATCAAAACTTTAATTTATTTATTTATGTTTTTTTTTATTTATATAAGTATAATTTTTTTACTTTTCCTCAAATATTTTTTTTATTTAATTTAAATATTTTGTTTTTTTTTTCTTTAAGCGTATTGTAATTACAAAGTCATTTAGAATTTGTTTCTTTAATCTATTAATAATAGTTTAGTATAGGTATAATATTTGTTTTAGATATATATTTTTGTTTAAGTATTTTTGTATATTAGGGTGGCCCCCAAATAAAAGTTGCTGATATTTCCAACTTAAATTAAGGCTTAATAGAATCTAACAGTATATTTCTTAAAAAGTCTGTCCTTGCTTTATTGTTTGGTGATCAGAATCAAAGGATCAAAATATCCTTTTTTAAGATAAGATATGAAAAATTTAAAAAACAAAAATGTTCTTAAAATTACAAAATTTCGAATATTTTTGGACTTACAGCAATAATTCCTACAAATAGCTAAGAGTGACTTTCAAAAACCATTTACATACATATGGGGAATTTCATGTCAAGTGACCCAACTCAAAAAATAGATTTTGAAGAAATTTGTACTAAGGTTAGTACTATTGGATAGCAGGTCAGACACAATTTTCAGCTGTATCGGTCAAGAACTGCCAGACTTAGAGGGGATCAAAGTTTTACATTTTGGTCATACAGGGTTTTATTCAAATGAGTGTAACTTTTCACCTATTGGTCCTAGCAAAAATTGTCCAAAAGAGTTCAGTTAGCAATTTCTTCATTCTTTCCAAAAAATGACCAAAATTTCCAATTTTAATCCCCTCTAAGTCCGACAGTTCTTGACCAATACAGCTGAAAATTCGTGTCTGACCTACTATCCAATAGTACTAACCTTGGTGCAAATTTTCTCCGAATCGGAAGACATCGATTTTTAAAGTTGGGTTACTTGACACGAAATTCCCCCTAGGTATGTATATGGACTATTTCCCTGCTTAACTTTACAAAAAAAAAAATCGTAATAATTTTTTCGTAATATTTACGAAAATTTCGTGTATAATACGAAATATTATTTGATCAATCCTGTTTTCTAATTTTACGAAAGTACAAAAACTTTTTGTAATATCTTTATCGTAAATTTAAGCGAAATTTTAACATAATAATGTTAAAAAAATGTTAATATGTATGTTATTAAATAAAACTACAAAAATATAATTCATATAATTCACGAATTATATTTATTACACAAAAGAAAAAATTCATGCAAAAGATAATTTATTAAAGAAAAAAACGTACTTTTAGATTTAAATAAATTTTCATTTTAGTTGTTAGCATTAGTAACTTTTATTTAGGGGCCATCCTAATGTATATTTAAAGTTTTAGTAAAAAATAAAAATTCCAGTTAAATTAAAGTTTTGTTGCTAAATATAAAATGGCACTAGGCTTTGTCTTGACATCTCTATAAGGGACTGAAAAATCATCAAAATATATGCAAGAAACTGCAGACGAACTATGGCATTGGTGATTAAGTATAAGTATTTTATGATCGAAAATAAATTTCGTTATTCAAAATTAATGAAATAGTTTTG